GCAACAACAAGAAAAAGAAGTATTGATTAATCCTTGATGAGTCTTTTTTTTTCCTTGTTAGGCAATAGCATCATATTTTATCTAAATGTTGCCGAAGAGTATATGTTCTAATATCGATTTGTCTCTTAACCAATACAGCTGGATGTATCTTACTAATATAGAAAAACATTGGTAATATCGATTAGACACTATAAAAATGAATAATTGTAATGAGAAAAACCGACTATTATATAGAAAAATATATATGAGGATGCATGTAAGTTTCCTTCTAGTTTTCTTTCTTTTATTGTGGAATGTTGTGATGAACTATATTTCTCTCGTGTGTAGTTCGGATGTTTATTCTCTCGTTCCTATTTTTCTGTCTGATCTTTTTCTAGCATGATGGTTCTCGCATGTGAGTATTTGTGTGTATGCAGCAAGAGTGTTAGAGCCGCAAAAAAAAGGTGGAGAAGAATGAGAAAAGAAAAGGAAGAATCTCAATAGTTCACTAGCAATAATGTTTTACCCCGATGGGAATCTGCTTGAGCGAAATAAGGCGGAGTAAGAAACAAAGAAATGATCGGTTTTTTTTCTTTACTTGCTATAGAATTGTCATAGAGTTTCTGTTACCTATATATATATGTATTCATTAAAAATACTAACAGTTGTAAAATGATCACGTAAGCAAATATACAATGAATATTTCTTATCCGATTAGTTTCCGATAGAATGTATTTTATTTTTTTGATTTATAATCTATGATATTAAAAATCGATCTTGATCGAAAACCTAAATTAGTCAATGGGGACAATAATAAATCAGAAGCAAAAAAAAAGAAGTCGGGCGTTATTTCTATGTTTGTAAATGACTATTTGCTTTGACTGATTTATTCATAATATTCAAGGAAAGTTTTTAATGTAAAATTTCTTTTTTTTGCTTTCAGGATGTCAAGATGGGCACTGCCGAATCGTCTCAATCGTCCGAAGTCGGTGGTATCGGCGGTTTTAATGATCATTCATCATTTCGTAGACAATCGCCTAATGTTGCTCGTTTAATACGTGGTGAAAATTCACAAAAAATGGAATATGAATTTCCAATATCGGACGTTAATACGACGAATTTAGGACATTGTCAACATCATAGTGGTGGTAGTACTAGTAATCATATGATACTAAGTGGAAAAACTAATCGTCATATTTCTGATCAACAAATAAATCATAATGATAATCTTTTATCAAATACAAAAGTGTCTTCAAATGAAACATCGAGTTTATGGTTATCATTAACAAGTTGTTTTGGTTGTCGTACACGTGAATCAAATTCTTCAACAATGAATCCATTACGTGATAAAGTACATGCAATACGTATTGTTCGAGCATCAAATGATTTAACACCAGCTGTATTTGATTCACATTATAATATTATAACACTTGAACAATTACGTGAATGTGAAAATAATGGAAGTGGAAATTTTAATGATTCATCAAATTCAACAAATCCAAATGATATTGAATCATCTCATAATGGTAATGGATCAGTATCATCATCAAAAAATGAAAATAGTCGTCGAATAAGAAAAAAGAAAAAGAAACGTGCAGCTGCAGCTGCTTATGCAGCTCGAACAATGATGTCGGATGATGATGATACATATGAACGGACGCAAGGCAGAGGTACATGAGAAACTGCTGGTCAGTTACTCATTCTTATTTAGTCAGAAAATGTACGGTTATTTTGTGTGGTGATAATTGGTTAATACCCGTGCAATTGAGTCTAGCATGTGGCAATATTCGGTTTTCTTGTCTTTTTTCTTTTTTGTATGATTTCTCTTGCGCTTTTTTTTCGAAAATCTGTGTTCAGTTTTGATGTGTTTTTTTCTCTGCTTCTTCATTTTCCTTTTTTTTCTCTCTCTCTCTCTCTCTTTCTTTTTTCCTCTCGTTGCCTCATGCATATTGTACTTATCAAGCAAGAACTATGAATGGAAAATCAAAAAATTAATTTTTATTTGAAGAAAACAAAAAACAAAGAAGAAAGATGATATGAAAATCAAATCTATTCATTCATATTGAAATACAAGAATATTCAGAAAAAAAAGAACAGATTTTCTTTATCTAACAAACTGAGAGTTTCATACATTGGTTCATTCTGAAGAATAAAGGAAGTACAAAAAAATTATGAAGAATGCTATTTTGCGACTAGATTCTATTAATAGTCAACAAAAACAGAAGCAAATTACTAGATAACTTCGAGCAAAATAGAATAGATGTTCATGGGTTAGTGTTATGCTTCAATAATGAGAAAATGTCACATTGTAAAAACTCCTAAACGACTTTTTTTTTAAATGAAGTCAATTTAAAGTTTTTTATGATTAATCACCATGCAATTGACATGCAATAACTTAAATTGTCTCGTTCATAATTAATCGTTTCAAATTTGTCTCGGATATAAACATTTAATAAGAAAAGAAAAAGACATTCTAGTATTGATAAAGTAATATTTGTATGTTTAAAGCAAATAAAAGAAACAAGAACTTTTCTAATCAGAACAGTTGATTTTATTTGCCGAAAAATTTAACCATTTTCAATTTTGAATAAGTTAGTATTAATTTGATTATTATACATAATAAAGAAAACATTTTATTTTTAATTATTATTATTATTCTTATGATAAAAAAAAAAGACTATATGGTAATGAGGAAATTCTATATTAAGAATATTGATGAAAGATGTATTCAAAGACACCATAGCTTATATGTGTTTAAGAAAAATGAGTATATACTATTTTAAGCTCATCTATTCATCTAGGTTACATGCACATTCATTTGTATGAGTAATCAAAAATGAAAGTCAGATCTCTAGAGAAAACGATCAAATAATTGCAAATCATGTAGAAATAGGAGATCGAATTATTTCATCGATGAAAATTTTTATGGTATTTTTAAACTCCAATAATAGCTAAAAAAATATAGTTCAATTAATTAGGAAATTATTTAAAATTTTTTTCATACTCACATCATCAAATGAATAAATATATATTTAAAGCAAATATATTTTATATATATATTATAGAAAAATTCTTTTATTTTTCTTTATTATAAAACATTTTATCGCTAAATTAATCGTTTTTCCATTATCGAGTTATGAAAATGTTTTATTGAATATGCTCTATTGAAGCAAAACTAAGTGCAAAATTAAATAAGGTTTTTAGAATCATTTTATTTCATTAGTAATACGAATAGAAATGAACATGTCGAGTCTAATAAAAACTTTCATGTAGGTCAACTATTTACAAGCAATTATTATTTTGCGTTTATTTATTTTTATTAATTCTTTTTTGTTGTTTTTTTCTTGATTGAAAATAGAAATATTATTTTTGACAAATGAGTATAGCTTTGTCGTACTTGATGTCAAAATTATTATGTATCGTAAGGAAATAACATTGTCCTCTTAAGTATTGGATAAGTGACTATTGTCGAATGTTAATGGATTTTTTTTGTCATATATTCAGAAATGAATATCAAGATCCTTATACGATATATTGAGAAGTAAAATAGATCAAGTTTCATTTGAAACCAAACTTTTGCGTTGTCTAATATTTGATATACAAAAAAAAAAGAAGACTAATGTAAAACAAAAATTACAATTTAATGTAGACAAACAAGATTTGTAATATAAAAGTAATTTATACTAAAAATAGACAATCATCATAAATTTTTCAATTAAATAGTGTAATATGACTACAAACTTAGAACTAATCTCATTTCATATTGTTCTATATCTTTCTTTTGTAATTCAATGTTGATTATTACTTTGCATAGGAAAGCAACATTTTCTTGTAACTCTCTTTGTTCATAAGAAATTTTCTGAGTACTTATTTTCAGAAATTTGAAGAAAACAAAAGGAGCATTGTCTTACGAGAAAAGTACTCCAACAGATTCCGATCTTTCGACTTAAGCCTTTCGCTATAATTATGTCTCAATGAAATTAATAAAACACCTAAAAGTATTCGTACTCAACATTCTTCGTTCCTGAGACATGGCTAATATTATGATGAAAGAAAAGCGTTTTGTTTCAAGTTACAATGCATCTATTATCCTAAGAATACTGTTTTCATCTTAACTAAAATAAGAGATCGTAATAGTACTAATCAACTAGTACCATTCATTTATTTCTAAATAGGTGTGCTTCATTTTCTCAAACTCACTAAATTCAAATAATAGAAAAAATGGATACTTTGAGTTTCATCTATGAAATTTTAAATGTTGGCAGAACTCAATTTATTGTCGGCTCGATTCTACATAATGAAAAGAAGTGTTGAAGTCTTTGTTTGATCTGTTATTAATCATGTCGGAAGCTGTGATGTTTTTGTCACTTTTTCATAAACTATTTATATCAGGCACTTGCTTCTTTTCTTTCATATCTGACGTATGTAATGTATCATTTTGTTTCTTTGATGCATTTAAAATATTATTAGAGACTGGATTTTTCACTAGTACAGCTTTTATCTTTAGTTTCAATTTATTACGATAACATATGAATAATAATCAAAGAAAATGAAAAAAAAAAAAACAAACGCCTTTCTTTCATTGCAACGTTAATCATATTTCAAAAACAAAGAGTCTTAATAATGAATGCATTTGCGTTTTTCTTAGTCTTATTGAGACCTCCTTATAATTAAAAGGTGAAATCCAACACTTGAAATCATTTAAAGCACTTTTTCATTAAATACAAATTAAAAATATACATAAAAATAAAAGAATATTTTATCTAATCTATAAAATATATCACAATGATCGTCATAGGAATCAAGATATCTTTTTCTCTTATGTTGTTTGTACAATTGCAATTACAATGTATTCATGGTCGACTGAAAACAACATATAAGAAAGATAAGTTTATAAATACTGCCTACGTTGGTCTTAAGAAAGGTTACATATGTGATTATGAAGCAATTCTGATAATAAGAACAACATCAAATTTGTTATCAACTATTCGATATCTGAAAAACATCTCCAAACACATGTTATGAGTACCAGTTTGTCTCTTCATCAATATAGACAACAATCTATTATTTCTCGTCGAGAAGTATGTATTAAAATATAAATGAAGTATTTTACTTTTTTTTTTTGTTTGTTCATTTATTTTAAAAAAATCTTTAATAGTTATGTAATGAAGATAATTCACTAATAAATAACAGATTTTATTTGATACAAATACGTCGTAATCGATCTCAATCTAAAGTTTCATTTTATGATAATAATCTCGAAAATGAAAATGAAACTATTACATCAAAATGGACAATTGTTCGACAACGTTTACCAGATATTCTTGCACTTAGTACAACATATAAACCAACAAGTATTCGAGCTCAACTCAGTTTACTTATTACATTAATGAATAGGCAATCAAATCAATTACATAAATTAAGTAATAATGATTTTATTGATGATGTATCGTGTATTCCAACAACGGTAATTATTAATATCGGTGGTCGTAATCGATTAATTCATTTAAAACGTATTCCACCACAACAAATGATACATGTTGATGTTGATAGTCTTTCATTTTCAATTCCAACACGACAATTTATTATAGCTATAAGCCGTGGTAATGCATATCATGCAGCTTCAAAATTTTGTCCACCGGCTATAACTGATATGTTAATTGATTTATCGAAAACAAAAGTTGTTGATGATGGTATACAATATCAACGAACTTTATTTAAAAGACGTATTGGTAAAATGTTATTTTTTGCTTTGTTTATATTTATTATTGGAATGATTTTAATACTTATTGTTGGTACATCAAATGCATTACTTCATTTAAATTCATTGAATTATACAACTCCGACTATATCAATAAGATCTCTTTCATCCAATATAGAAACAGATGAACATTGGAAATGGAGATAATATTTTACTTATTTGCTTTCTTTTTTTTTTCTTTTCCTCTCTTAAAACTTAAATAGTTTTTCTTTGTGATTCTCAACATTGTACTCGTGTATGATTAATGCTGTTAATGGATCCATAAGATGATATGTTTGGAATTGAATGTGATTGTTTTTTTTTTATTTATTAGAATAATAGCAAAAAGGCAGCAGCTTGACTATTATATCTATTTTTTTAAAATATCACGCCATCATTTATTTTTTTTTACTCAATTATCATTTGTGAAGAAAGTGTGAAATAGAGTGCAGCTATCAGTCTTACTTATCTTAATTGTTTCTTATATTGCGTTTGTCTTTTGGGACAAGTAAGTTGAAGAATTTAGGAATATTTGAACAAGTGAAAAAAAGTTCCGAACACAATCTCTGTCAGATTAAAATGTGAAACACGATGATGCTACTGTTACTAATCATTAGAAGATTGTTTTATTCTATCTGTTTTGGAACACATTTCTTCGTCATTCTTTTAATTAATCTTCCAGAAATGTAATAAGAAAAAAGTTCATATCCCTGGTTACGTCTACGCATACATTAGTGCCACTATATTGAATACTAGTATAGTTATAGGTACTAATGCTTGCCTAATTATGTCGGTCATGGTCTGCGGGGAGGATGTTCAAATTTTAACCCCTATGCTTCAATACTCTTCTTAGATCATGCTTCACAAAAGTGAAATATTCATCTGTAAACAGAATAGAAAGGGATTTCCTGTCGAGATAATTGTTCGATCAAAGTCGGACATTAAAAAAGCGAAAATGATTATTTTAGAAATTTGTATCAAACACATAATTATGTACACAAGTTTTGTATGACTTTGGTCAACTGTTAGCGACTGATATTGATTCGAATTTGTCTCATTTCCTATACTTTTGTATTTTATGGAGAATTGATTTGCATAATCGAATCATGATGGAAATTTTCCGGTACTAAAAGCTGGTACTTATATCAACGAGTAGCATACTTCAGATAACTTTTATATTCTTGCGTGGAAGTTTCTCCATTGTCGAAAGCTTTTTTAAATAGAAAATTCAGTCATCGTTTTTAGATTTTTTTTGTCGCTGTTGCTATTCAGAACAGGAGTGTTTATTATCAAAAATATTTTTCGATTTTCCAAGCACACAAGAATTTTTGACAGTATTCTAAATGGGATTGCCGTTTGAGCATTTTCATGTATCTTCAGAAAACATAAAAGTCAGCTACTTTCATCATAAAAGGCGCAGGCAGATACTTAAAAAAAAGATAACTTTTCTAATTGGAAAACATGCAAAAATTTTTCCGCAATATTTTGACGCGCTTTGCAGAAAAATATTTTTTTTATACACGGTGTGTGTTAACAATTTTGAGAGAAAACTTTTTAGACGCTCGCCAAATGAAAAATTGATTTTTGTTAAACATCTTCACGCATTTTTTATGATCAAAGTAGCTGGTTTCAGTGTTTCCCGATTGAATGTGAAAATTTTGAAACTGGAGCTGCATTTGAAGTCGGCTCAATAATCAATCTTGGGCTAGCTGCATTCAAGTCGCATAAGATTTTCAAGATATGTTGCGATTATAGTGAAGAGTCTATGCTCACATTTTTAGTTCGGTATCATGACGTTTTCGAGAGATATTCCACAAACAAAGGTCAAAAATAGCTGATTTGGCAGCCAAAATTCTCTGTGGGTGTCACTTTATAGAATCAAATTTTTTTTTATTCCACAGAGCATGCCAGGTTGCAGTGCTATTTTTTATATTCTTACTCAAGAAATGGTCATCTATTTGCTGAAATGCTTTTTTTTATCCAATAATAAAAGAATTTAATCAAAAAAAAAACATGGGCTTTCTCATGTCCTGCATATTAAAATACTCTTTCAAACAAAAAAAAAGAATCATTGCCTATAATTGAGCTACTTGGAGAATTCTGGGATGCAAAATCAGAAAACCATAAGCACATAAAAAGTGACATTAGTCCCAAGTCAATGATTCTGAATATCGAAAACAAGCTAACTTCGCGAGAACTGATTGAAAAAATCCAGAAAAATCATCATATTTCGGACTGAAGCATTTCTGACTTTGTTCAGTAACTTGCGATTATTTGTTACCGGGAGCAACAAGAAGTTAGTCGAAGGTTTTCAAAAAAATTCTGCAGACACTTCAGCCCAAAATATTATCTCTAATAATGTTCCTGTTGTAATCTGTCGGTACATACCTTCATCTAGGGCTTAGGCAATACATAAACATATTCGATAGAAATAGCTTTGGAAAAACTTCATAATAAAATGATTATTTGAATTTCTTATTTACTTAGTTTTAAAAAATGTTGGTCAATAAACAACTTCTAGCTGGCGAATATCGTCATAATTATATTCGTCTAGCATTTCTTGTTGGTACACTTCTTCTATTCATTGGTCATATGGTTGTCAATGAATTATTTGACCATGGCAATAAACGTAACTTTATTTAAATTCAATAAAAAAAAAAATTCTTTTTTTACATGTTATATTTCAGTCATATCTGTAAATGAAACAATACGTGCTGAAGATATAGTTTCAAATGATATTAATCCAGCAGATTGGGTTTATCGAAGTTTAAATAGATTGAATTATATATGGCAGGTAAAATTTTATTATAGATTATTTTTGACAAAGAAAAACGAAGAAAATTCTTTTAAGTTTGCTTGGCTTCTTTATTCATTAACATTTATTTATCGTCGGTCATCAATTGGTTATTTGTATTTGTCACCAAGTACATTAACACCATCATTTTATTTTATTTATATTCTAGCCTTTCTTCTTCCATCAATATGGATTATATTTTTTCAAAAATCTTATATAGCTGTGAGAAAAAAAAACTGTTGTTTTGATCTTCTTAAAAATAGATTTTTATGTTTTAGTGGACTTGGGTTGTTTATTTAACATCATTTTTATTACTTTCATTAGATTTATTTATTTTAAATAATAATATATCACTCAATAAGAAGATTTATGAAACTGAGGGATTGTAAGTGATTGAAAAGAGTTGATTTTAAAAAAATTCATGTTTTCTTTTCTTATTTAGTAATCGAGATATATGGTGTCTACGATTTTTTGCTCAAAATGGCGTGGCTTTCTTTGCTTGTTGGATAGGTTTGCAAGCATCTTTTTTATTATTCTTATTATGAGCAAAATGACTTCTCCGAATAAGAATTGTTGATTTACTTAGAGTATATCAAAAGTAATGAGATTTTGAAGCAAAAAAAGAAACAGAAACAAGTTATTCCAAACTTTATTTCATCAAATGTTGGATATCGAAAATTTCTTTTTAGTCATATAGGTGATGGCAAGGTGTAAAGATTGTGAGTTGCTTTGATCAGTTCGATTCCGTTTCATGAAATAGAATAATCAGAAATATCTTTATTAACATGTAGTTTGGAATTATCGTGATGAAATTTTTTTTTTGCATGTGTATCAGATGCTAGTCATTTTTTGTCCGGATTCCGTCGATAAAAGGTTTCGAGTAACTGTCGATATAATAGCGATGGTAGATGACTGGTCCTTGTTCAACATGATGGATTAGCACGGGGTTAGTCATTGTAAAAATGGCGCAAAACGGCTGCATAGAACCACGATAGGCGGAGTTGCGTTGATTGAGGTCCACGCAGCATTAGATCGATTTGTTTAGGATGAAAAACCATGGCTCGTTACTTGTCACGACAAGGCATAATTGCCATGTTTCATGCTCGAGTTTCGTTGAATTTTCTTAACAGTGTCGAACGAGTTCGGCACGTTGATTAGCATTCAGGAACTTAGGTACTTAGCTGAGAGTAATTCTTTTTTCAGCTTAAGATAGACTGAAATAATTCGTTCAATGATAGTGCGACTCAAACCAGTTTCCACTTGTATCTCATCAATAAGGCATCAAACTTCTTCAATGTTTTCAGATGCTATCTCGTAGTTACAGATCGACGAAGTTCTTTGATATAATGTCAATCTGATTACTTTTGATATGCCTTAAGTATATACATGAGTGCGATTCTGTTGTATGTCAGTCTACTGTAAGATGAAATTGAATCGTTAACCTTTCTTTTGATTAAATTTATTGATGTTCATATCTTACTTGTGATTGATATTGGAATTTTTTGTTTTTTTTTTAGGTGTTCGATTTGTTCTTGCTTTTGATACATTTCTTCAACTACAACTTGTTTTAACAGTCGTAAATGCTGGTACAGTGTCATTAATTTTAGCAGCAATTATTGCAGCTACATACTTTTTTGGACCAAATCTTAATGCAGCTCTGGTTGACAAATGTGCTTATCAATTTTCACCATGGATTGTTTTTATTTTTTTCTTTTGGGGTGTTGTTGAAAATAATTGGATTCCAAAGAATGTTAAAAGAAATAATATTATTGCTGCACTTGAACTTATAGCAACTGTGCTATCGGCTATTGGTGCTTTGGTTTTATTTACGATGCGTTATCGCACATCAAAAATTGATCCAATGCCTTAAAGATTCTTCTTTCTATTGACTGAAATAATATTGGGCGATGAAATATTAAAATATTCTATTCATTTTTATTGCAGGTGATTTGTTATTTATTTAAAACATTCTGATTATTCTTCTTTAATAAACAATATAAGGGATATGAACAGGGAAATATTTTTCTCTTTGTCAGAAAATGAATAATGCTTACGATAAGACAGTTTGTTGACATAGGCGACAGAGCTATGAGGCTTAAGTATACAGAACCATTTGTTTCTCATCCCATCAGATTGATAGACTTATACAGTGCATCAAATTTCTTGTACAATTGTCGAAATTTTTCACTACCTTCAACGACAAATACTAGCATTTTCGTGTATTGAAGCAGATTTAGAAAACATTCTTCCAAAAAATATTGACTTTTACATAATTAAATGTCGAATGAAAATGATTGATTGAAATATCACCTTTTTTCTTGTAAAAATTTGACGCTCTAGGGAACGATGAAACGACATTTGATCGATTGTTTTAAATCAGCCATCAAAAACAAACCGAACCGAACTCGCGATACTCTTTGTCAGCGAGCAAACTTTGAAAAGACACAAGATAGAGAGATGTGGCTTCCATCATTCATAAAACGCTGGATCACTGCATGGTTCTATGTATGACTCTACCAAAGGAGAAACAACGGAGACTTCGGTCTTGAAGTCTCTTGTATTGAATGTAAATGTAGACCGTAAGAACTCGGATGTAGTGCATTTCTTAGAATTGAACTGTCTTACCATCTTCGCAAAGCTATCCGTATTTCTCTAAAACGTAAAGACTGACAATACGGTCATCATACATGAAATGATACTGCCTATTATGAACGCTGAAAGCCACAACGCTCTATCTTGTTCTTATTAAAATTTATTCGCAATTAAAAATTATCAAATGATTTTTCGAACATTCTGTATTTTCAACTAAAGAAAAAAATCTATTTCAATTTCAATAGATTGTTTAAATAAAACTTTTTTTTTCTGCATAATGAGTTCGATTGAATTTGTCTCACAAGAAATATCAATCATATGTATTTAAAAGCAATTTTTCTATATGATTTGTCTGTTAACATCCAATTAAAATGAACAGCGTCACATTCAATATTATATTGAAAATTTTGTTTTTAGATTTTATTTATAAAGATTATATTAAAAATATTTTGAAAAAGTTATTTTTAAGTTTAAATAAAATTTTAAGTTCAATAATAGGGACCTCAAAACTGGAAACAAAAATGGTATCATACACTAAAGCAGCTGTTCAGCATTCTATGCATCATTTTTAGGATTTATTATATGATTTTGATTTCTTTGTTTTGAATAAAAAGATTCTATTTCTATTAAAGATATTAATTCAACAAATATATTAATTTTTTTACAGTCGAATGGCAAATTACACTGGTACTCCGCGTTATGCACGACCTTTAATAAATGAACGTCCACCAGGACCAAGGTAAAATTTTGACAATTTTTGTTTTTGTTTTTCAATTTTATTTCATTCGAATTTTGATTAGATTTAATACACCACCAAATCGAAATATTCCACATCACAATTTAAATGATCAAAGGTAATTATCATCATAACAAATAAATAAATAAATATCTTTTTAAATCTTAGACCACAAATAAATATAACACAACAACAATCACATTCGATTAATCCAACTAAACCAATTAATGATACAACAATGTACGATATGATGTTCTTGACTGAAAATTTCGCACATAAAAATATATATATATATTCATTTAGATCAACACCTCCAACTTCAAATTCACCTGCTATACGAAATCAAACAGTAACTAATGCAACAAGCAATTCAATTGATTTAACGTAATTTTTTCCGAATTAATTCATAAATAATATTTTGTTATCATTTATTTTTAGTACTGATTCATCAAATAAATCAAGCAAAATATCATCGACAGAAAATAAATCTGCTGAAGAAACTTCATATAATTCTTTAGAAACATCGAATACTACTGTAGATAATAAATTAATAGCAAAAATAGATACGAAAATTTCTGATAAAGAACAACAATCAATAGGACAAAAACGACCACGAACTGAAACAAATTCTCAACAACAAAATGTATTTGATTCCACAACATCATTATCACAACAACAAATAAATGAAAGAAAAACAACACAAGGTGGTCGTTGTCGTTTATTTATTGGTAATGTACCATCTGATTTAACACAAGATGAATTTCAATTATTATTTGGTAAATATGGTGAACTTGTTGAATATTTTGTTAATCCATCACGTGGTTTTGGTTTTATTAAACTTGTATGGTTTTTTTTTTTTTTATTAAAATTAGACAAAAAAAATATTTTCTTCTATGTCATCTAGAGTTCACGTCAATTAGCTGAACAAGCTAAATATGATCTTGATGGTTATGTTTTACGTGGTAAACCACTTCGTATACGTTTTGCTAGTCAAGGTGCAACAATAAAAGTTAAAAATTTATCATTAAATGTATCAAATGAATTACTTAAAGAAGCATTTGAACAATATTTTGGTGGTATTGAACGTGCTGTTGTTATTGTTGATGATCGAGGAAAATCAACTGGTGAAGGAATAATTGAATTTGAAAAAAAACCATCAGCACAAAAATGTCTTAATGAATGTACAGAACGATGTTTCTTTATTACTAAGTAATAAATTAATGAAATTTGTAAATATTGATAAATACAAATGTTTTAGATTTTACTCTGATGAAATTGAATATCATCATGATTTCGTTCGAGAAATAAAGAAATGATTAAATACGATTGTTTTAAAAGAGAGGAAATACTATTTCCAATCGATTTATAATATCCTATTCGTCTTTTCTTGAAACATCTCGATACTATTAACCTAAATCTAACGTATTCAAGTTGTCCTACAATTAATAATCGTTGTCTATTCAATTTTTCCCTTGAGTAGAAAATTCTTACTTAAATTTAGCATACAATATAATGTCTCTTTTTAAAAACTATTATTGTAAAAATAATTAAATATTATCGAAATTTATCGATGAGTTAAGAAATAGTTTCTTTTTTTTTTTCGCTGACATAATCAATATTTTTATTTATTTGTAGTGAATTAAGACCTGTCATTGTTGAACCTTGGGATATTAAAGATGAAGAAGATGGTTTACCAGAAAAATCTTTAACTCGTAATTCGGCATATATAAAGTAAGCTAAATAAATATATTTAATATTTATTCAAAAAAAAAAAAAAAAAACTAAAATTATTTTTTTTTGTACATTTAGAGAACGAGAAGCAAAACCACGTTTTGCTGAATTAAACACAGTTGAACATACAATTGGTCTTAAATGGAAAGAATTAGAATTACAAGAAAAACAATTATTGGAAGAAGTTAAAAGACGTATGCAATATGCTTCGGAACAAGTAAAAATTGAAATCGATCAAATGTACTTAGAACATCAATCACAAGTATTACGAGAAGGTAGGATTGAAAAAAAAATTTCTAAAGAAAACAATTTATGCTTAAGTAGAAATGATGTGTTAAATCATTTATGATTATCACTTTTTTATATATCTTTTCACAGAGTTTTATGTTTCGCATACTGACTAATATCGATATATAGTTTGAATTTATTGAGCGTAAGTTATGCATCGAATATTTTCAATATCAAAATGTCGTAGAACTATGATCCATCGGCAAGATGCCAAAGCCGAAACACATAAAACTAGATTCGTTCTCGGATTTTGAACTGGTAGCTAATCTCAAGAGACGGATGCGTATTTTCAAGATATTGTAGCAGTTAGAAAACAAATTCTTCAAGTTTATCGACATGTAATAATAGCAAAATTGATCAAATGTGTTTTGTTTTGCTGGTCGTGATCAAAAAATGAATTTCGTAATTGTTTTCAGCAATTAATCTGTATAGGTTAATCATCACTAGTAAAACAATTGAGATTTTATTGACGTTTCGTATTCGATTACTTGTGCACAGTCATTTGTATTTATTTGTTTAATTCAAAGATTTACAATAGTTGACTAATATTGTAACTAAAAACAGAGCTCGGTAAACTCTGATTGCAAGAACCCGTCCGAAGTCTTTCTATTAACAAACAAAGCTTCACATGTCTTTACTGTGTCATAGGTAGACGAGTTTAGTCTGTTCTGACACTGTGAAACAGAAACGTTTCTATTATCTGAAACGATCTTGATATAAATTTTAATTCCCATCATAGATATCATCATGAAATTTTCAGAAAATACTTGATTACAGAAGAGAACTGACTCGAGAAATTTTGAAATCGAATGGTTGAAAATAATCGAAATTATTTGTGAAAATTTTGACGGCTATTACAAACGATTAAATATATGAATGATCGATGTAATTGGGTATTTCAATCAATAATAGTATTCTTTTACTAATGAAGATTTATTTTTGATTGAATTTTATTTTATACTAAGAACTGAAGATATCAAAGTTGTTCTTAATTATTTCGTAAGAAAATTATTAATTCATAATTAACAAGAAATAAATTAGAAAAACTAAAGATTATATGTATTATACATAATCATTGTGAAAGTAATTTTTATGATGTTGTTAGAAAGATTTTCATACGTCTAAGTCCTCGCACACAAAAGTAAATCATCATTGGTAAATGAATACTCATTGTCTTTTTTTCAAATTCGGCGTTCAACATTCATTTGATATATTCCATCATATGATGTATATCTTATTCTTTTTTCTTCACTTATTCGTTCATTCTTTCTTTAAAAAGAAAACTTCGTAAAGAAAAAAAGATTAAGGAAATGGTAAGTGTCTTATGTTGTTTCTAGAATTGTTACGTCGTCAAGAAGAACTTCGTCGAATAGACGAACTTCGATCACAGGAAATAGACCGTCGTCGTAATATAATACCAATGCATCATACTGATGCCTATCATAATCCGTTTAATATATCTACTGCTTCTATAAGTAATGTATTTCATCAAAATCAAGCAGCAGCTAGTGCATTACAATATAATGATTTTCAACAAATTCCATATTCAAATTCAAGTCCTCTTATACAACAAGCATCACCTATAGCAGCAAATATTGACGCTGCTTATACAACAAATCAAGTAGCACGTGGTTATGGATTAGCAAATGCACGTTCAACTGGTGATGATTATATTCAACAACAACAAGGATTTGATAGAAAACGACCGAGATATTAAACATTTCATTTTTTTTTCTGTAGTTTTGTCAGCGTATATTATTTGTCCATTGTTTTCTGTAAGAGATTTAAAAGAGATTCGATTGTTGATAAGTAAGAAAAATTCAATCATACGTATGCACCGTATCAATATGTTCTGTAAACCATACGAATGAATGATGTATATGTTTGTTTGTTCGTTTTGTTTTTTGCGTGTTTATCTTCTTGTTTGTATTATACTAATGAAAAGTCATACGTAAACAGCTTTAAGAAACGAATGAATTATACTTTTTTTTGTTTTTTGCCTAGATAAACAGAAGATTTGTGATTCGATATGAATTCGAAAAGAGAAAAATTAATATTATCTATGATTTGTTTAAAAGAATTTTAACTGTTCGATAATTTAAGTATAATGTTTTGAAAAAAGATAAATATGAGTGTTAATATTGAATATTAAGTGATAAGAGCAATACTTAGTATTAGAATAATATTCGAGATATTCAGTTACTATAAAATTGTGTCCTTTTTTTTTTGTTTTTAATTTCTTCGGCAAGTAATGATGATTTTTTGTAAATCTAAGCCATATTGAGAATAATATTCAATGAAACTAAATGTGTACAAGAGCACTAACAACAAAATGCTAGCGAATTCTTTTTTTAATGGATATTTCCATAATTAGTCAACTGCAAAAAACACAATTTATTGCGTTAATCATTTTGGTAAAAAAAAATATTCAAATTTACAAATATTTTGACTCCAGCACTATGATTTATTAAGTAAATTTGAATAGTTTTTTTTAAGCAAAATTATCATTTGAAAAGAGTTCTGCAAAGTTGAATTTTTCTCGATTGACTATCTATGGAAGCATTCATCAAAAGTATGATTTACAGGCATTTTATTGATGTTAATAAATTCATTCGATTCTAGCAACTAATGCTTGAACTGAACTTCAATTCAGTGTTGTACGGCTTACATTGAATGACAAAAGAACTAGTTTAGAATCAAAACAATTGAGAAAAAATTTTTGCGTTCGTGTTGTTAAGAAAATTGTCTGTTGAATGTAAATGTTCTTACCTGCTACTTTCCGCATTACTTATTGCCTACTTTTTCTTGTATCTCATTATTGTATTGCTTATCATGATTGAATTTTTTCGATTATGCGATATGTTACTAGTATAATCAAAAGCATTGCGCTAATTCAAGTCTTTCTTGTATGAAAAATATTTAAGATGATTGTTTCTTTGTTTTAATTTGCTATTTCGTACAAGAAATGGTTATTATTTTATCTTTCTGAAACTAAACTAAGTAAGCAATCGAAACTAGAATTAAATGTATTCGAAGAATCAGAAATATCAATCGGCGTGGTTTGGTCTGCAGGCTAGAAATAAGTGACCTATTGGTAACTCTAATGCGTATATGTTTCACGTGATTATAGATCATTTGCATATGAAATAAGCGAAAGCTTTTTCTTGTAGCTTTTAGTAGTAATATAGAAGCAAAAGTATGTTTTTATCCAATACGATGAATCGTTGAAATTTGATAAACATAATGAGTAGGTTTTATCAATATGAAGATTGATGATGATTAGCTTAAAAGTATTTGAATTGAGCATAAAAATAGAATGTTGTTAACATTTAGGAATATTAAATAACTTGAAAAGATGAATTCGTAAAAAGACAAAAATCCGTTACAAGTAATAATAAATTTCTGTAATAATCTTTGATCTGAGAATTTAAATAATGTGCTTTTGGATGGGACATAATCGCACTGAAAAATCAAGCATGACATGTAAATTTTTTTTCTATTCATTTGTGTTAACTTATTCATATTCGTTTATTAATGTGAATTTTTCTGTAATGTAATCCCAATTCGTAGCTTGAGTTAGTCAGTTTCATAAACTATATTTTAATGGATATTAATCGAATTAATTGGGTAACCAATGGTTGTTCAAGATGGATGCAAAAATTGATCAGTATACTTTATCTGACTGGCCTAGTTCGTGGAAAGTCTATCAACATTCTAAACACATCCTGTTCATCTACAAATAATATTCACTGCACACTGCTCATTTCGACAGGCAATTTTCTCGTCAACATCCGTTTCTTGTGTGATAGGCGACGTTTTATTTTCAAAATCTTGATCTCTGTTCGAACTAGTGACTGATAATTGTAAAAATAAGATTAATTGATAAACTTAACGTTTTTCATCATTTTGTTGCTCATAGATCAATGATTCACAATAAGACCACTTCACTTAAATCAAAATAGAATTTTCTTGATTCATCACTATTTTCATATTTATTATTTAGAATTGTTAAATACTATGTTTTTTGTTCTACATATATGTCTAAAATAGGTTTTGAATCGAATGAAGAATAAAAGAGAAATTTCGAACATACAAACAATACCATTCTTTATTAGACTTATGTGGAATGTCATATTGTCGCGACTCATGTGTTCTAAATAAATATAGACAAGATGATCCTGATTCCACAAGTTCTAAGACTGAAGTTAATTTTTTTGCCAGGAATATGACCGTGACCAAAAATGATTAGTGTCACTTATGTCTAAGCCTTCCGTTATTTATCTATTCTTGCATGAATGAGGATTACATATAAACTTCATTCTATTGAAATAAAACGATTAAATAAATTTTATTGATTCATTTGAAATATATTCCAATGAAACTATCGAGTAAACAATTCTTCAATATAACTAAATATCATCGATTATTTTTCTTCATCTCATTTATTTTCAAGTTAGGAAATGTTCTTTTGAACAATTCCATTCCACTCAGCATGTTCACTTCCTTCTAATGAATGGTTTCACTTGTTCATCTCACCACAGGATATTTGAAACAGCAGTCATTGATCGATCGGAAATATAAAGTTATTTGTCATGTTTGACGAATCATACAAAAGAAAAAAACAAGAAGAAAATCTTAACAACAACAACAAGTAGCTATTTAAAATAGCCTCTCAACATGAAATCACTTTTTTTTTTATCCCTTGAACAATTATATAATATGTATTCACCTTTCGTTTCAATCGAATAAACAATAAGTGTCAATAATAGCAGAAGTGTATAAGCATGATGAAATCAATGTTCATTTTGCATTGATATGGAAGAACAATTTTCTTTTTCTTTTTCTCATATAATAAGGCTCATTTATTTCTTCCGGCAAAAAAAAACAAAAATATTTAAAAAAGCAAAATTATAATAAATCTTTTCTTTATGTTTTGTTATTTAACTTTTGTACATTGTTGTGAACTTGTATCAATTGGTGCTAAACAACGACGTCTTGGTGATGGTTTTATATTTTGTAAATATGATTGAAATAATTGTTCAATTATATATTGTGTATGATTAAGTTCAATTTGATTACAATGAATAATGTTTAATATTAATTCATCGATTTGATGAATATTTTTTAATGAAAGACCTTTTATAGCTGCTTTTATACATGCACATGCAAGAACACTTGGAAGTATTGTTAATGTATTTAATTCTAATAGAAAAAAATTCAATTGAAAAAAAAACAACATTATATTGAAATGAAAAGAAAATTTTGTTTTACCACATATTGCAAGTGATAGAAGTATATGAACGTGTAAACAAAGTTGAGCTCGATTTTCTAATGGTAAAAAATATTTAAATAATAATTGTATATAATCATGTGGTACAAAATAAGCTAAATCCCAATCAAGTGTATTAGAAATTATTAGTTCAGTATTCTAAATTGAAAAATGATATAAAATAATTTCATTTAGAAAAAAAAAAAATTTTTTTTCTTTTTTTTATTTACAAAAATTTCTTCATCACTGTAATTTTCATTTGAAAATATTAATGATAATTGTTCATTTTCATTATTAATTAATATATTTGTACGTAATTTTTTAGCTAGATTATAACATGATAAAGCTATTAATTGATAATAACGATCATTTATTATAATTGAAGAAGTTTTTAAAATAAAACGATCAAATATATACATTGTTAATGCAAATATATCATCAGATATATGTTCATCATCAGTTAACTAATTAAAATCAGATAATACTATTTTACAAAAAAAAAAAGAACTACAAACTTTATGTAAACAGTCAGCTATAATACGTCGTTTTGAATGAGATTTAATAGAAATTTTTGAATAATAAGATTTTTCAATAAAAAGCATTGTTTCAAGTTGTTGTTTTTCCATCGTTATGTATTTCTTGTCGATGTTATGAAGAAGAAAAAAAAGAAGTATACTCAGCTGACTGTAATCATTGAAAAGAAAAAATTCAACACTATGAATACGATTGGATTGTATATATTAAGAAAAAAAGACAAAAATACGAGAGAGAGAGAGAGGAAGAAAGATAAGAAAAGCCGATATTGAAATTATAATTAGTACTTGTCGATGACACACGAAGCTATACGCGTGTCTAGAGTCCAATAATAAGGTCGAGAACAGCATTGTGTGAAGAGAGAGCGGCAACAAATTAGTTAAGAAAATTGAATTAAATTCTGTTCAAATTAAGATCTATTTTCTTGTCAATGAAATTGAAATATTATAAATTTTCACATTGATATAAACATTCAATAAGACCATTATTTGTATATATTAAACAGTAGCAAGCGTTCCCATTAAGAAGTTTTTCTTTAGTAGTAATTTTATTTATTTAAAATCAATCGATTCTATTAATTAAAGTATTTCGATTAGAAGAATCATCTTCGACTTAATCACAAGAATGACCAGACCGAAGAAAGGTGTGCAGCTCTCGATCAAAAATATCATTTGTTAGTCTTTAATGGTGCCGAAAATTGTCAATACATTCTCTTAGAAAAAAAATTGTAACACTTCCGCAATGTTGGTTGTCTTTTGCCAGCTCTGCCTGGTTATTATTTTGATAATAATGAACATTTAAGAATATCTTTGTAAATCTTTCTCGAATTTTCTCCAGTATCAGATATAGAGAGAACGATTGTTTCGTCCTTTCAAAATATTTTTCAGATGAACTGATACGATTTCTACAAAACACGTTTTGTAACCATGATCACTCTCCTTCCGAAAATCTTAAATTCACCATAAGCTCTTTGCATGATTAAATATTCCTGTTCGAATTCATTTATAGTTTCAATTCCATTCGTTTGAGAGATGATTAATCATGTCTACTTGTCATTACGAGTAAAACAATCATGACATTTTTCATAAGATGAATACAATCTTGCGTGTTGCATATAAACATATTTAGCATAATTTTCTCACACGAAACAAGGTGTAATGACACGTCTTATTGTATAAGAGGATACCGCGAATGAGTGTGCTTATAGCTATATATATATATATATAATATTTTCTTTTTCGCTTACTTATTTATTTAAATCGAAAAGCTAGTAGACAATATAAGATTAACGTTTATGTCGGTATCTCAGAGGGAGAGCTTATTGAATCATGACAAAGTATTAAATGTTGTGGAACCACCATTTTTCAAAAAGAAAAAGATTGTGTGAAAAGATGCGCTGATCGATCAATTAGACCATTAACTTGGGATCAATTCTCACCTAGCATGTGTGTTTTGATGACATGATTTGACATTGACATGCTAATGTATATTAAGGGAAAAAAAAAAGTTTCATTTTGTTTTCTCTTGTTTTTTTTACTATCATCGTATGTGGAAATGATTATTTGATAAGACTTAATAAGAAATGGCGTCATCGATATAAAAAAAAAAGAAAAGCACTAACATGTGTTTCTTAACATTGATAAATGAGCATACGTATGCGTAAGACAATCCGATGAGATTGAATTCGGTTCGTTAATTTTCAAAACATACACACATCTTATTAGGATAGAAAGAAGAAGAAAAAAAAATAAATGAATTTCAACTTTTTCGACATCAAACATGGACAGAAGCATGATATTTTTTTAAACATATATATATATAAATTCTAATGAGAAAATTGAACATATTTATTCTTCAATTTAAATCAAACGTATTGTTATTATCTATTATTTTCAAGTAGTTTTTAAAAGATAAAATTTTATCTTTTTTTATTGATAGGAAAGCTTATTTCTTATGAAAGAAAAAAAAAAATATTTTTTTTTTTTCGTAAGAAACGAAATGTTCATTGAACTCCAACAGTGATAATCACTTATAAGAAAAGAAAATGAGAAGCTGTAATTATCAAGTGTTGTAACACATCTCTTACGTCAAAATTTGACCCATTTTCTTTTTCCGTCTGACAGACATGAAGTGTGTGTTTAAAAGAAAGAATGTTTGTCGGCCACCCGTTGTGAACACACACAACTATAACGGATATACAATTTTTGATTTTGAAATGCATCTGTTTCTTTTATATTGCATATTTTTTATTCAATAAGCTAATTTAAATTTATTTGTTTATTATCAAACAGCAGGTGAGAATAAATTGAATCATCGAAATTATTTAGCGCAAAAGTTGAAATATGTTTATGACAGAGATAGTTTTCTTTTCACGATTCTTAATTTTTATTTGTTTCATACATGAATTAACATTGATTTTATATAAAGACATTAGAAATAATTAGATTTTCGAAAAATAAAAATCGATGAACACATTAACGAGTGTCCCAGAATAAATTGCACTAAATCTTGGGCCATTTTTGAATTGTGAAAAAAAATTTCTTATATACAAAAAAGATAGAGAATTTCAAGTACTAAACAATTGTATTCTTTATTTTTAAAAAAACCTAATCTCCCTCGTGTTGTAACATTCGTTTGATCGAACTTGAAACATTGTGTCGTACGAATTCAAGTTGAATCTTTGTGGTATTGTCTGTTATACAACTCTAGTTCATTTGGTGATGAGATTTGTTCCCTATGATTCTATCGATCATTCTTGTTATTAAAAGTATCATTAACATGAAAATACTTTTCATTGGAAAATAAAACCGTTTTTTTCTTCATTGATTTCTTAATATTTTTTTTTCTGATCTTAAACCTAAATGATTTTCTTTTAATCTTATGTTCATCAACAAGTTTTGGTGGCATTCGGCTCTTTACAAGTCTTGCAGCCGAGATCTTTTTTTTTTTTTTATTATATGTTATATTGTACCATTTGATGTTTTCATTTGTTCTACTAACATTCGTGTTGAGCTTCGCTTTCCTTTTGATAACCGTTTTTTGACCTTCGGAATGAGTGACGTTATACGAATAAATCTTGAAGAATCTTTTGGTCTTTCGATAAGTTTAATAAATTTATCCAGTAAAAGGCTGTTCTTCTTGAAATGACACTACGTAACTATTGATGGATCGAGCTTCCACTATGACCTTCATGATACAGTTCCAGTACTAGTTGTCGAATGTATATAGCTTATATTCTAAAATTTTTCAAAGAAAATACATAGAAGTGTAAAAAGAGTACAGTTTTGTAGAACTTGAAATTCTGCATCGTTTGGTATATAAGGGAATAGTTTTTATGAATTAGAAAATGAAACAAAAATGTGTCAAGGTTAGGTACAATTTATCTTGTGACACCCGTTAATATTTCAACTTTATCTGAATAATTCATACAATATTTCTATTGTGAACATGATCAATTAATTGAGTGTCAAATTCAAGGATACTATACTGATTGATAAGTTAGAATTATTTTCATGATTCATTGAATATAACATGCTAAAAGTGATTGTAAAGTTTCTATATTCATAATTTACAAAATACGTTTTACTTTTTAATCGATATACATCAATATATTCAGATTAAACAAAACCAAGCAAAAAACAAGTGACCTAGTAACAACAAATATTAAACATATTTTCAATTAATGTAATACAGATAAGATAAAACAGAATAAATTCTAATACAAAATCATATTTATGTTATAGTTTAATTTTAAATTTGATAAGATGAAATTTAAAAGAAGCAGTTTAATGAATAGAAGAGCTTAAATAAAACATAATAATTAGACCATGACATGAGTCAAGGATAAAAAGGAAACTGAGAACATAATTTTGGTATAATTTTTTTTATCCTCAGGTCATTCCGACCCTCATCTCAACAATATCATGCCGTACTTATAAATCCTTTTTTAAGTTCTCTAATTCACCAGAAAAAGATTTTTAATTTTTTCTACACAAAATTAATATTAGATTGCATTGTACTTTAGATGACAACATTTGAATTAACCCCCCTTTATAGAACGAGCGAATGTTTCGGGTGAAATCAATGCATGCACACATATATATATATAGTAAACAGAATGATCAAGGGTTTATAAAAGAAAGAAGAAAAAAAGAATATTTATTTTAACTTCTATTTTATCTTTTCAGTATGTAATAAATGTCTTCTACAAATTCAAAAAAATTTCTTGATTTATTTAATGATGTTGATGAATATAAACAAGTAAATCAAAATAAAACTAAATACAAATTTCATAATCTCAAGAAAAAACAAACAAACAAACAATATTTTATTTTTATTTAGACAATATGTTCGAAAGTTATTGATGTTATACGAACATCAAATCGATTAGCAAGTGAAAATTTTGATCAAATAATGACAATAGATTCTTGTCATGATAAAATTAATAAATTAAGCGAACGTATTTTAAATCGGTATTTTATATGAAATTATTTACCAAAGAAAAATAAAAAAATTTATTTTCTTTAGAATTTATCAAATTAAATCTCATATTCAATCATCTAATTGGGATCAACTAGATTTAGATGAAAAAATTGAACAATTGATTGATATTAATGATACATTATTTGAACAAATTGTAAGAGACAAGTCTTTTAATTAATTATCTAATGTTTTTCGTTTTTTTTTTTTTATTTAGGCATCTGCTCTTGATGAAGCCGATGGAATTAAAATATCTCCTATATCAACAGCTGTGGTAAATGTTTTGGAAAAAAAAAAGAGAGATAATTAAATTTTCAAAATATTTTAGCGACAAGTTTTAATCAAACCACAATTAAATTTTCAATATAAAATTGATAATAGTACGATCATACCTTTCATTCCAAAAATTCGTATTAAACCAAATGCTCTAACGCCATTACCGAGTACGTTTGTTTATTTGTTTGTTTGTTGTTCTATTTTAAAAATTAAAATTATTAGTGATGATGGCACAAATGAATTTTGAACCTATTGATCTTGATTTATTACAAAAACATCCAGAAATGTTTGTGTTTTGTGCTTAAAAAAAAACTTAATTTAAATATATTCTTTGTTTTTTTTTTAATCTCAGATTAGATCATCCATATTTTGATGAAATTAGAATATTTGAACCCGATGAAATGTTATTGAAGAAAATTGAACCTCAAGTAAGTGTAAATATTGTTTAATATACTAGTAGAATTGAATTTCTTTTAGTTTCCAAAATCAATTGAAGAAACAAAATATTTATTTGTTGATACAATTGAAAAATTAAAAACAATGATGGATCATATTGAAATTCAATTAGAATTAGCAATCGATTTAGAAGTATACTTTACTTTATATATTTCTTTTTTTTCTTCTCTAAATATGATTAAATCTATTTCTTATTCTAGCATCATTCCTATCGATCGTATCAAGGTTTTACCTGTTTAATGCAAATATCATCACGTACAGAAGATTTTCTAATTGATACACTTACACTTCGAGATGAATTATCTATTCTAAATAATGTTTTTACCAATTCAAAAGTTCTTAAAGTAATTTTTCAAATATTTATCTAAATAAAATTAATTTAAATTCGAAAGGTATTTCATGGTGCTGATTGGGATATAGAATGGTTACAAAAAGATTTTGGTATTTATGTTGTAAATATGTTTGATACACATCAAGCAGCAAAAGAACTTAATTTACCAACATTATCACTAGCTTATCTTTTAAAAACATATTGTAATATTGATGCTAGTAAACAATTTCAATTAGCTGATTGGAGATGAGGGTCGGAATGACCTGAGGATAAAAAAAATTATACCAAAATTATGTTCTNCTCAAACAGTGAAACAGTGGTTCAATAAGGTTACCTTTGAGACTGATGGATCGCTGCACTGTAAATGAATGAGTAGTAGCATTCTTCGAACGGACAGATGAAACAGTGGTTTTTTCTCATTTGTGAGAAAGAGTACAAGTTGAATATAGTTCGAGTTGGAGACCAGATTGGTCGATATTAACTACATAATCTGAATCATATTTTAGTAAAATTTTACGGACAGTCAATACGAATTGTTATGTAGTGTTGAATTTCTTCTTGACTTTCCACCTGTCGGTTTGTTATTGCCTAAAGTAGCATATTATGATTCCTTTTTTTGTTCAGCAAAATACCTGTATTAAGATTTTTTTTTTCTCTGTATTTCACTCGACGTTCTTTTACTGTCTATGTTTAAGTAATTAAAACGTTTCTAATATAATTCGTGTTTCACACAAAAGCAAAACTAACAAAACAGTCTTCCAACCGTTTGAAAGTTCAGAACTAAACAAAATCATTGAAAAAGACGAAAAGATTTTCACTAGAATCGGAAAATAGAACTTCTTACAGAAAAATAACAAGTAATGATTTACAAATTAATATAGGTATTATGGAATATATTGCTTTTTCTTAACAAATAGAAATGAAATATTTCTAATCATCAAAAAATATTTTGTAGTCTGGTTACAGAAAAGTAACTATTGTTTCAAAGACAACAGAAAGAATTTACTCATTTTAATGACTTTTCTGGAACATATATGTGTTTAATGACCAACGCCCTAAATCTATATCATGAATAGGTAGAAATGATTCCTGTCCTAGTGAAACATCTTGTGAGCAAGATCTTTGAAAGATATTTCAGTTTTTAAATATCTTCATCATGTCTGATATATCTGCGTCTAAGATCTGAAAAAGATCTGTTTAAAGATTCTGAAATGTCAAGGTCATGAGAAAATATACCAGATGTGATTATCTTTTCTCAAGATCCTGAATAAAATAAACAGCGACATCATCAATTTATTTAAATATTAAAAAAAATATTCTAATTGCTTGTAATTAATTTCCGAAAGTCATTCAAATCAATTTGTTGGTGTCTTTATATGTATTATAGTTTTGCAACATTAGGGGTACTTGTCAACCAATGAAATTCAAGTTAGACAAAGTTTTTTCGACTCATTTAGTGTAGATTTATGAAAGACTGATATTCTATCATACAATAAGTGATGTTAGATTGCGATATTCTATTTTTGACGATTCAAATTTTGTGAACGTAGGATTCTTTCGAAAAACGATCACATAAAGAATTTATAAGTTTTAGTGTAATATTCTTTAATATAAATTTTTACGGTAATTTTTTTACAATAATTTTTCTCAGCAGGGTAGACATAAAAAACATTGAAGTTCTTTCTGTTCTAGATTTATATGTAATTATAAGCTTTAAATTTATTAGATGAAGACTTCTTATATACATAATCATCGATTCTATTTTACCATAAATATCAGATGTCGTTAAATGCAGATCATTTTTTAATGCTAACATCATCAGTAACAATCATTATACATTCTCCAACAGCTAATAATAAAGGTCACCAAGAAAACAGTCAGCAACATAATGTTTAATCATTATGAAAAGATTGAACATAAATGTTAATAGGAACAGAAAAACAGTACTTTTTAGTTGTAAATTTTACTTCGCGTCAATTTTTGTAAAAACTTATATTGTTCAACTTGTAATAATTGTACATACAAATTATAGTGTTTCCTGTGCGCTTGTCGTGCTTTTTTTGTTGTACTATTTTAATGGAAACTATATGTACACGAATCGTTCAAATGGGTATTGATAAGTATTAAATAAAGACTAGAAAATAAGATACTGACTAAAGATCTTTAAAATCTTGTTTATTAGTAGCCAAGATATAATTATCTGTATCAAAGATCAGTTATAAAGATCATAAAGGATAAGATATTAAATGAAAGATATTGACTATCTGTTAGTAAGATCTAACAAATCTATCCTTAAGATCTAATTCAAGATCTTGGTACAAGATAATCATATTATCTTGTACCTATTTTGTCAAGGTCTGTTAACATTTCTGTACCTTGTATCTTGATCAAGATCTTGCTTGCAAGATGTTTCACTAGAGCGAGCATTTTTAAATTTATGATAAACATAATCATTTATACAATCCAACTTTTTCTTTTTTTGTCCCACCTTTTTCGATATAAGAACGAAAGATATATGATGGATGAGAGACATGTCGAAATCGCGATGTTTCACGATCAATCGACAACGTTTTTATGCTATCGGCTCCTTTTCATCATAATATTCTATGACCTTTTTCATATAATCAAGAGAAAACGTTTGCAGAAATACTTCATATTCGTCGTTACCTGTGCCCATGAAGTTGGTACTCAATGCAGAATCGTCAGAATCACCATCCTCATCCACATCTTCTTGCAATATTTCATTTGAAACTAAATCAAGTGAGACTTCACTTTCTGCAACAAATGAACTGCAACTAATAATTGAATTTAACACATCATCCAAATGCTTAGCGACTTCTTGTTTACGCATTGATGGAATTGAAACATTCCGATTTGCAGGTGTAGCGGATCGAGAAAACTTCTCTGAAAGAAGAGAAGATTCGACTAATGCATTTATCATTTTTGTTAGAATCGAGTAAAATGATAATCAAATAAGAGTGCCCACTATCATCTATTATTTTTCTCTTTGTTATAAATGTGGTATAAGTTCACTCAATTCATCTGCACTTGTCTGATCTGGTTCATTTCTTGTCATTCATCATTCGTACACGAAAGAGATCTCTGTATATTTAACTTACAATGTAAATATCGCTACAGACGTCAAGATCGAAGAAAAAATAAATAAAGTATCGTGACAAACTATAATTATTAAGTATCTGGAAAAGTATTACGAGATTAGTGCTCACTATTCTAAAAGCTTAAGTTCTATGTTTTGTACTGTTAAGAAATAATATAATTAATGTCATTAAAAATCACATTAACGTTTTCGATAATTTGTCTTTTCAAGGTCATTTCGACTCCAACTTTCACATCATCTATCACATGAGTACTACTATACGTGAGCAAAATTTCAGCTCGTTTCGATTTATACTGACTATGATATTGACTTTTTTCTGATAGAATAACTTCTGTGGTTGTAATAATAGAAACGTCCGATCTCCTCAAAAACTGGCTATGGGCACGAACTTTTTTTATCATAGTTATAATTCATCAAGATCTACAAGATGCGCATAGTCTCGACTCAAAAGCGAATGTGCACCTGAGAATGTTCCATCGCAAATGATCTAGCACATGAGAAATAAAGTTAATTATTCGAAGAATAAAAATATTTGGGTGTCTGGAACATACATTAAATTGTTCAAAATCCATGAAAATATCTCTACAACTTTTCAGCATATCTAACAAGTCACCATCATAATAGAAGAGTTTTTCAAAATTTCTTAAAAATACTTAAGATTATAAGTAGAAAGAACTTTTTTTAGATGCTACGATATACAATTGAGACTTAAAGTTCAATATATGTGAACCGCATAAATTTAATAGTACATTTTATACTATAGATCCATGATATGACGTCATCCGCACTAAACAAATTCTTTAGAGTATCGTACAGAACCAGTTTTGAGTCATTTTGATGACTCCTAAGATAAGAACTGAAGTAATATTTTATATATTTTCGTCATTGTGAAATATAATACGTGTTATAATATTACGTGACTCATTGACACTATTTTTTCTTTCTTTTTTCAATAAAACATACTTTTTTCTGGCGCTGATATTTTCAATGATGGTAGATAACAATAAATGATAACAATGATCGAAGTTTCATCTCAAATTGCAATACCGTAAGAGACTTATAGGTCAAGTAAAATGGCAAACTTTGCTTGACAATCATATTTTTTCATCGGTTTTTAATCAAGTTTATCTCTCATCCATTGTCTTTCATGCAACAGTACTTCGATCTTTTTTAGATGAATTTTTCACTCTTTGAATTTTTTTTCATTGCATATAACAGATAATCGAACACTGACTGTAGATTTGAAATTCAGAAAAATTTTAAGAAAAAAACGTCACATAAATGCCAATCAACTTTATACTCGAAAAACAAAGACTTTTTGCTGTAATTCTATCAAATTCCAAAATTTAAGCAAAGAGTATCTTAGGATTTATCGTAGATAAACTTTGACATTTTAGCATGAGACGATACAATGCATTTACAATTAACTCTTACATAGATCCATACTTTTTTTTATGTCCAGTAGTTCTTATACTAGTTTTAAATTGAATATCATCAGTGACAAGTGGAAATATAATCAATAATACTAGCCGAATTGGCAGGATAACGAATACGAAAAGTTGTAACCCTGTACAGCACTATTCTGAACCACAATTTTAGCTTTTAATAAAGCGGTAATTATTGCATTTTATTTAGCAATGATATCTTAAATTTCTAAAAAGAATTCAAATAACCTACAATGCAAAAGTCAGTACTGAAATCTTGATCGATAGTTCTTCACTTATGAACATCGTAGAGAGTGTATTCTTCTTTCAATTGAACAAGCAAAGTCTGAGTTTAAAAAACAACGAAAGCACAGGACACTTTTTGATGTTGACTTTCAGTGAGAAAACAAGTTGGTGCCATACATTGTCAGAAGAAGGCACATACAATATACTTTTTTCCTTATATTTTTTCTAGAATCTGAAGAAAAACTTTTGTTTCTGTAAACTAAATAGATGAAAAAGTGGTGGTTACAAAAATAATTTAGAAGGTTTCTCAATAATTCTCTAACCTACTCTATTAAAAAGAAAAAGACTGTTTGATGCAAGAAATACATTTGAAGAGAACAAAAGTTGTAAAAGCCTTTTTTTCCAGTGACGTTTGAGGTCAAACTTTTTTCTCACTCACAACTACTCCAAAAAGACTTTGTTTCGTATGTTTTTAAAGTTCAACCTTTTCTTCTCGAACCAGAAAAAAAAACGAACTCTCTCTATGATGTTTCTGAGCCAAGAAACATAGGTTGAGATTTCAGTAGCTTCTTTTACATCGTAAGTTAGCATTTCGAATAGAGAAAATTATTGGCAATAAGAATATTTAAAATGAGAAATAATTAGCGATTGATCTAGGACGAGGTCTTTAAAAAAGAACTACTCAAACATATTTTTTCATCATCTAGCATCTAGAATTATGATTTTATTTAGACAACGCAGAACAAATGATTCACTACAAAATGAAATCTTGTTGAGTATTTTATTATTTTTTTTTTCAATCAAGTGAATCGTCTCACTGGCAAACTAATTAATTTAGCATGTGAGCTGTGCATACACCGACATATTCGAATTTGAAGGTATTTACATTCTCTATGCCATGTGCCCACATTTCAAAATATCAGCATCATTTCTTTTTCTTTTTTCGTCATGGTTGAATAGAGCTCAGTACGTTACATAAGAGAAAAATCAATATCACAACATACTCAAAAGCAATTTTACTAACAGTCAGAATTTTGTGTCTGTTACCCTTATATTTCACAAAAATATACATCAAGAATCTATAGTCTCAATTTAAGAAAACAACTGTTAACAAAATTTTCTAGTTGAAAAATAATTAAGTGTGACAAACGAGTTTTTGCTTTAGGTAGAAAAAGTTTTTTTGATATGTATTTGGAAAATGAAATTACATTCATTCTAAACATAACAGTTCGTGCAATAAAAGAAAATGAAAGAAAGAAATTAAAAAGAACAACAACCTTTTCTTCATATTGTATTTCATCATATTATTTATTGCTTTTCTTATTTCAATCAATTGTTTTTTTTGCTCTATAGAAAATATAACTGTCAAAAATCTTTTATCTATTTAGTCATTAAATTTTAACCACGAGTACTATGTTAAGAATTCAAGAATTCATTTAAGTAATTATCTGGAAAAAAAAATTGTAGAACAACTCATGGGACTTTACTAAAAATAAAGAAATGTAATCATTTTTTCATGTATTCATGAGACAACGTGGTGTTCACTTAACAAGTAAATTAATTATTTATATATTACATTTTCACAAAGAAACACTATTTAGTATTTAATAATCTTAAACTCAACTATTTAGATGTTGTATTACTCGTTCAACTATTCTGTATAATGGAATCGTTTTAAAATTGATTTTTTATATTACTCTGGTCAACTAGAGTATCTTCAAAATTTTTTCATTAAAATTCAGAGAGAACTAATTTTATGTCATACTATCATAGTTCGCATCTTTTTTTGAATGTTTGTAATAATAAGTAGAAATTTTCAAAAAACAAAATGTTTATTCTTTTTTCAAAATTATGCATTGTACTTAATAATCCTTATTATTCAACTTGTGCTCTTGTAATTAACAAGACAATAAATCAAACGAAGTATATCTTAAATTACAGTAATCAAATTATTAAAACCAACATCTACTTAGTACTGATTATTAACGACATCTGTCTATATTATTATTAATTCTAAAAAATAAAGTAAAATATTGAGAAAATTATTTAATCAAATATATTTTTCGTAAATTATTTAAATTTAATTTGTATGGTCAATCATATTGACTAAAGAATATATCAATGGTTGAAAATAAGCATGTTTCAATCCAAGTTATATCACATAGTCGTATAGTATTGGTGGTGGTGCCCTACTCTGCCTGCCCTCCTTCGTTTCGTTCCTTCTGTTTGTGTATGTATCTCATCTCTTTCTCTCTGTCTTCGTCCCGTTCTATCTCTTATACCATTCCTCTGTCTCTGTCTCTGTCTCTCTCGTTATGGGGCCGGCCAAACGATCGGCGTCAGAGTGACTGAACAAACATCTGACCTTCTTCTATTGACTACTATTTGAGTTGTTATTTATTATTATTTTTTTTTTGCTTTAGAGATTTTTTTGTTTATATGTATAAATATTGGTTCAATCAAAAATCTATTCTTGTTTTCTTAAATACTCTAGCATGAACAATGGTTCTTTGCATATGAAAGGCAATAATTGTCGAACAACAACAACAACAACTACTACTTCATTAACTGATCAATCATTACGAACATCATTAATACGAAATACAGATCACGATACATCATTAGATTTAACTGACGTTTCAATATTATCTGTTGGTCTTAAACGTTATCAAAATCATAATCACGAAATGTTAACTGACGATGATGACGATAATGAAGTTGTAAGAATTAAATTTTTAAGTTTAAAAAAAAAAAAGCAATAACAACAACAAAAATTATTTATTGTTTTTTTTTTCTTTCTTAGATCGAAACAAGTGATGATGAAGATGACGATGATGATGATGAACCATTTCCTTCCAATTCAACAAATACATTATTAAATAATCCTAATAATAATGATGATATGGATCTTGGTTTAATTGATCCAGATACACAAGCTAAATTAGCTGCTATACTTGAAGCTACTGGTATAACAAATTCTCCTATTCCGGAAGATTTTTGGCGTGATCAACAAGTTGTACGTTTATTAACAAGTAGTGTAACAAATAATTTAAATGGTTTACATGAAATAGCTAATGCTATATCACCATCAAATATAAATCTAAGTGGACATCAAGAAAAAAAATCTAAATCAACAAATAAAGACACGTATGAAAAATAACAGCAAAATATTACATTAGTTTTTTTGTTTTTGATTTTTATAGATCAGGAACATTTGTTCGTGCATGTATGAATAATGATATTCGTACTGTTGAAAAAATTCTTCAAACAACAAATGGAAAAGAACATTTAAATGATGTTAATGAAGATGGTGATAGTGTTTTAGCTGTTGCTTGTTCAAATGGTTACACAGATCTTGTACGATTATTACTTACAACTATACCTGATATTGATATTAATGATCGAGGTAGTAAACAAGATTGTACACCATTAATGGAAGGTTAGAAATAGATTTTGTTTTTTCTTTTTTTTTTTTTGGAAAAGAAAATATCTTTGTTTTAAAAATAGCTTTTAATGGTGGACATTACGAAATAGTTGAACTTTTATTAAAACATAATGCAAATGTAAATATGCAATCAACATCTGGTAATACAGCATTACATTATTCAGCAGGAGGAGTAAGAAAAAAAAAAAAGGAAAAATTTATTTTTAAATGATTTTTTTTTTTTTTTTCATTTTTTTGTAGGGTTATGCAGATATTGTTCGACTTCTACTTGAACATGGTGCTAAAGTAGAAGAAACAAATGAAAATGGTCATACACCTCTTGTAAATAATAATTTTTTTTTTTTTTTTGATAAAGAACATTTTCATAAAAATATTAAACTTTATTTTCTTAGATGGAAGCAGCTAGTGGTGGTCATGTAGAAGTGGCTCGTGCACTACTTGATCATGGTGCTGGTGTTAATACACTTTCGAATGATTCGAAAGATAGTATGTTATTATGAAGATTAATTTTCATTTTCATTTTCTGTTGTTTTTTTCTTTTCTTTTTAATAGAAAATGGAAATGATAGTAAACAACATAAAACAGATGAAATGCATACAGGTAAATCAATATTAAAGATCAATATATGAATTTAAAGAAAAAACAAACATTAAGAGATTTTTGATAATCACATAAATCCTTTTGTGAATATGTTAAAAACAAGTGAACTCATAAGCATTTTCTAAGAAGTTGTAGTCCATATAAAACACATTTTCGTCGAAACTAATTTTTGAAAGATCCAAAGACAGATAATTTCTGAGTTTATATTCAAAAAGAACACGAAATTTTAATTCTAACTCATAGTGATTCATCTTTCTCGAAACTTCCGTACTATTCGTTAAAAGCTTAACTGCTATATCATTTGAGTTATTGAACAGTAACTATGTTCTCGTATTATTTAAACGAAAAGATTAATCTTCCAATAATTAGTTGATATAGTATTCGTTTTAATATATTCATTAAGAATATTAGTTAAATTTATGATTTTTTTTTTCTTAAATAAATATTTTATATTTAGCTTTAATGGAAGCATGTATGGATGGTCATGTACAAGTAGCAAAATTGTTACTTGATCATGGTGCCGATGTAAATATGCCACCAGATAGTTATGAAAGTCCACTAACATTAAGTGCATGTGGTGGTCATATTGAACTAGCCTCGTTACTTATTGAACGAGGTGCTAATTTAGAAGAAGTTAATGATGAAGGATATACACCATTAATGGAAGGTTTGTTATTGTTATTTAATTCCAAAGAAAAACATTATTTTAGTTTTTTTTTCTTGTTTACAGCTAGTAGAGAAGGACATGATGATCTTGTAAATTTACTTGTTTCACAAGGTAAAGTAAACTTTTTTTTTTTTCTGTATTTTTTGGAACTCATGACAGTGAGTGTAAGTCTTGCCTGCTCCTCGTCATAGCAACGACGGTCAAAGGAAAGAAGTCAATGAGTATATTTTCCCTAGCAACGAAGGGACGTGTAGAAAAAGGCCAAAGGTCGTCAGGTACGTCTCTATAGTAATCAAGGATAGCCACCACGACCCTACTTCCTGTATCAGAGTTTCTTAGCAACGGAAAAAGCCGATGAACGGTATTAACAACAAAGTATAGAATGTTCCAGAACATTCCAAAGCCTTTCTCAGAATTCGAATGACTGAAATACATTTGTATGCACTTTTGTTATTTTTTGTCAAAATAAAAATTTATATTCAAGACATCACACGTAATGGATACTGATAAGAGCCTGTCGGATCCAGACCCAGTTCAGTGAACGGTTTTGGAAGGCAGACTAGTCGAATCATACTTTGATATTCACAATGAAATTTTCTGACCTACATATTTCTCAGACTACTCGAGCTTGAGACCAATCCGAGGACCTCTAATCGTAATGCATTGATTTGCCACAGTCATCATATGATCAACATAAAAAAAAAAAACGTGAACTGATATAAGACAGATTGATTATTATCCTTTAAAAATACAACTAAAGATTTTTTGCACTTTACGAATTGTATATAAGTATAAAATATATTCTTTTTTGTTAGGTGCTGATGTTAATCGAACAACTGAGGATACACAAGAGACTGCATGTATGTATAAATAAAATAGAAAAAAATATATATTTTTTCTTGATTTAATAATAAATTAAATTTATTATTTTAGTAACGTTAGCATGTGCTGGAGGATTTTTGGATGTAGCCAAAATTCTTCTATCCAATGGAGCAAATGTTAATTTAGGTCAATCAACTCCTCTTATGGAAGCATCACAAGAAGGACATGTAGAGTTAGTACAATATTTAATACAAAATGGTGCTGATGTTAATCAAACAACACCAGCTGGAGAAACTGGTAGTTTGATGAGATCTTTTCTTTTGGTTTTATAAAAAAAAATACTTTAATAAATTTAGCTTTGGCTTATGCTTGTGAAAGTGGTCATAGTGAAGTAGCAGAAATTTTACTTAATTCCGGTGCACATATTGATCAAGCTGAAAATGAAGGACGAACACCATTAATGAAAGCAGCTAGAGCTGGACATATATGTACAGTACGATATTTAATATCAAAAGGTTCAAAAAGCGCAAAAATAATAAAATCTAAATAATTATTATTTTGTTTTTGTTAAGGAGCGGATGTTAATCGAGCAACAAATAGTAATGATTCAACTGTTCTTTCATTAGCATGTGCCGGTGGTCATCTTGATGTCGCTTCATTATTACTTAAACATGGTGCAGATCCAAATCATCTTCTTAAAGTAAATTTTTTTCTTTATAATTTGAAAGATTTCAAATAAATTTTATTTTAAAGGATCGTTCAAATTGTTTAATTGAAGCAGCTAAAGGTGGTCATACAGAAATAGTAAAATTATTACTTGAATATCCAAAAAGTGTAACACAACGAACACAAATAGTACCACCAACAAATTCTGTTGAATCATTACATTATGATGTAACGAATGAAAATGATGAAGAAAATGATAAAGAACAAAATTTAACAGTGACAATGACAAATACATTTCCATTACCATCATCAATAGGAGATAATAATAAACGATCTTCACAAACAACAAATTCACCTATACAATTATTAAAAAGTCTTCAAAAAATTGTTCCAAAAACTATTCTTGATGTTCTTCAAACTGGTGTTAATGAATCAATTAAATTACATACTGATAATGATACAAAAGGTTCCTTCTTTTTTTTTTCATATTAAATCAATTGTTTTTTTTTGTTTTTAATAATAATTTTCTTTAGATAATACAACATGTTCAATGTCAAATAATGATCGATCATCATCACCTATTCCATCGAATGACACACTTCAACAATCAATTGTATCAAATCAAAATTCAGATATTAATAATGTTCAACAAGCAAAAAAACTTCAAATACTTGGTAATTATATATTATCAAATGTTTATTTTTACTAAACTTCTTAAATCCAATCATATATAATCTGAAATTAGGACTTTTACTCTATCGATTCAATAGAGTTGGCTAGTAGTGTGAGAAAAAAAATAAAAACATATTTGAAATCAATATGAAAAAAAAACAATGATTTATTTGCAAATATGGACGTATATATTGAATTTCATTACTGATATTTATATTGTTTTGTTTTTGAATAAAGAAAATATAAAATTTTTATATGACTTAGGTAAATAAAAATTGACTCAGAAGTTCGAAATCGTTTTTTATAATGAAAGAAGATCTTGTCGAAGCGATGGGTTCTACTAGTACTATTTATTTTAACAATTGACAAATTGTGCATCACTCAATACAGGTTTTGCAGATTGATTTCAA